ATTTTGTGAAGTTTTTGGAACCCTTGGTAAAATTAAAATTTGTAAAGAAATTTTATATACTAGCCTTCTAAGAAGCTTTCTTTTCTTTGACTATTGACCTTTGTTTAGTACGTGTTAAAGACCATAGACAGCAGTTGATGAAGACTACTTTCCTTCTTATGTTTCTCAATTCATAACTAGACTACAAAGGACGTTCAGTTTCCTGGTTTAAGTTTGAATAATCCAAGCAAGATTCTCTTGTTGGATATTTCGTAATATTGTTGTTGAAGATTTCACCTAGCTAGCTAGATGTCTGAAAACTACGACAATTGGGAAAAACTTGTGAATGTTGCGCTTCGGAGAGAACAATTCCGACAACTTGCTTTAGCTCATTCCAGGGAATCAAGTTCCAGTACATTAAATGAGGATATTATGGATTGGGAGAGATATTACTGCCGAGTGCCGTCTGGTTATGGTAGAATTTTCTCCGAATCTGTAAAGCTTCTTCCTGATGCAAACAAGAAAGATATTATCAACATTGTAAGCTTCTTTACTCTGAATCAATCAGCGAAGCGCAGTGGAAATTACTTACAGTCTTGAATTTTATTTTTGCATAAACTAGCTACAAAATCATGAAACCTTAAAAAATTATTTTTCATATTCCTTCTTTCAAATTTCGCACTATAATTTTCTGAAATGATTTCATCATAGATGGATCAGTTTTTTGATCTGTCAACAGATTTTTTGAATAGATTTATTCAATGTATTTTAAATTATTATCATTGCTGTATCAAGCCGAGTGATTAAATTTTATTTTTTTTGTTTCACAAGCTGAATTTACTTTATAATCTTTTTTTATGCAAAAAACTGATTTTAGCTATGTAGCAGACTATATATATGCTTATGTTTGGATAATTAGCACAAAACGTTCATATCTTTCAATGTTATTGTGCAAAACGTCCATACATTTTATTTTTTGACACTTTTACCTTACTTTCACCTTTTATTATTGAAATCATCATTTTCATCAAATTTCTCGTTTAAAATGACAAATGTACTCCCTATTTAAATAAAATAATAAAAAATAAAAGAAAAGTTAAAGAATAAATTGCAATCACACTCCCAAACTTTTTAAAAAAGTGCAAATGAGTCCAAATAAATTACTAAAAGAGTAATTAGCATAAAACGTCCATACCTTTTATTATTATTGTGCAAAACATCCCTAACTTTAATTTCTTGACATCTTCACCCTTATTTTATATTTCATTGAGAAAATCATTATTTTCATCATTTTTCTTAATTAAATGCTATAAAATAACAAATATACACTTCTCTTTAACTAAATAAAAAAAAAATAAAGAACAAGTTGCAACTATATTTCCAAAATTTAAAAAAATAATTAAAAAAGAAATTATAGTTGCAATTTGTTCTTCATTTTTGTTTATTTAAAGAAGAGTGTATATTTGTCATTTTACAGTTTTTAATTGAGAAAATGGATGAACATAACGATTTTTGCAATAAAATATAAAAATAAGGGTGAAAATTTCAAAAAATGAAAGGAGGAACGATTTGCACAATAATAATGAAAGGTATGGACAATTTTGCTAATTACTCTTTTAATAATTTATTTGGACTCATTTGCATTTTTAAAAAAGTTTGGGAGCATGATTTCAATTTATTCTTTACCTTTTCTTTTCTTTTTTATTGTTTTATTTAAATATGGGATACATTTGTCATTTTACACGAGAATTTTGATGAAAATGATAATTTCCACAATAAAAGATGGAGGTATGGATAAAAGTGTCCAAAAAATGAAAGTTAGGGACGTTTTACACAGTAACATTGAAATGTAAAGACTTTCTACTAATTACCCTTTATGTTTTATAAATAGATTTAATAATCTGTTTTCAGCAACAAAAACTAAAATACATCATATAACCCGTACTAATAGGTGGCTTGCCGAATCTCGCCAGCTAGCTCTTTCGGGCTTGAGATTGGCTCGCGTGAACAAATTCAATATAGGCTTGGGCTCGAGCTCGGTTCAATTCGAGCCCAAGACACTCATGTACCCAAGTTTATTGAGCTGCCTGGGTCGATTGCCATCACTAGGTCCAAAGTTCAATTCATTCAATCTCATGCTTCCAGTATTGCTAATATAAGGACTTATTTGCAGCTTCTGAATTTGTGGAAGCCATAGCCATAATGATTGTTCCCTATCAAGCCCATCACATGTACAAGGGGCTTGCTGATCTCATTCCAGATATCGATGCTTTATACTCCAAGGAAGCCTAGTATCGAGTTAGAACATAATCCCAAACTTTGTATTGTTGTCGGATTTTACCCGCACTCATGCCTCCTGTTTGAATAGAGATGAATGTATACTCATTTTCTTGCATCTTTGACATTTTCCCACTACTTTGCCTTTATCTTCGACCTTGCCCCTTTGTAGATTTTGTTTGTGTTCATCATATTTATTGAAAGTAGAGGAAAAGATTGTGAATTTGCGAGATGATCTATGTATGATTTTCACTTTCAGATTGCAGAAGATTTGTTGGTACTCCTTTTGTGTATAACGTGCTTTTTTATAATTCAACAGATTTGTTACTTTATAATCTTTTACATGATGAATTCTTATCCAACAATTATGGCTATAATAATAGATCATTCTTCAAATTTGTGACGAAAAGGTAGAATTAAAACATGTTATTGGTTTACAATACATATCCGAAAGCTTATTTCAAGAGACAGGAAACGTTAACTGATGATGCTTGGATTAAACATATATAATCCCTCCCAAAGTTTTGGTGGAATTAGGGTTGGGCAAATCTCTCGAACCGAATCCAACGATTCTTGTCAAATTAAATACCCGAACGGGTATCTAAATTGAGAATCGACGGGTACGGTTCGATTCTCGGTTCTTGACCAAGAACCGAATAAGAATCGAATTTTTCTAATTTTTTTTATATTGAGTAAATCAAATTATTTTAATTTTAATTTTTTCTAAACAAATTAATAAATTAACAATTTCTAAATCCAAATCTTTGGCCCAATAATTTGTTTCATTTCTAATTTTTTAATTTTTGGCCCCATTGCCCATTTTATTGTTTCATTTCTTAGCCCAACAAGATCTAAATCACTAAACAACTCTAAACACCTATACTAAAGTGCATAATGTTGTATAAACTCTCGCGCTCACTCTCCTAGCCTCGCTGACATTCCAAAACCTATACAATTGCCGGTCGATGCTGCGACCTCCGATCAAAGCTGCGACCTCCGCCAACCGAAACTTTGATAGTAGCGATCATTTGAACAAGGTAGTCTGCTAGCCTATGAAATTTCAAAATCATTGAATGTATCATTAGTTGTATTTATATAATGTTGTTATAAATGTTAAAAAATTTAATTATAGTTCAGAACCGAACGGAACCGAACCCGAACGGTTCCATAATTATATTTGGACACGACGATTCCATTTACTAGATACCCAAAAATTTTGGTTCGGTTCGGTCCGGTTCTCTGCGCCCACCCCTAGGTGGAATGCACATCATCTCATCTAATGAACGTAGCAAAGTTTCGTTTATTCTAAACCTAAACCCATCAAGCAAAACGAACAAAACATAATTATCAAGCAGGCTCCTTTCCTTTTGTGTTCTTCAGTGGTGGCCTGGGCAAGCTGGAGGAGGAGCAGACTGTGGTGGTGGTTGTTTTGGAGTGAGGGAAGTAAATAGCTAAGGTTTGCTAATGTTCAACAACGGCATAAATGTTTTGGAGGCACCGGACAAAGGTGAATATCTTTTCGCTTTTAAGGGAGGAAATTGGAGATTTTTTTGGATAGGGTTTGGAGGATTGGTTTCAATTTTGGGGAACACAAAGATGCGGTGGTGGGTTTGCATGATTTCATTTTGTTTTTCCTTTTTTTTGCCACATAAGAAAGGGCCTGTACACCAAGCGTGATTCTATTTGAACATTGACACAGTTTTTAGAGTTTTGCAATGAAGTAATTAGCAGAAAACGTTCTTACCTTTTAATGTTATTGTATAAAACATTATTACCTTTCATTTTTTTTGGCATTTTTATTCTTATCTTTACCTTTTATTGCGGAAATCATCATTTTCATCAGATTTCTCGAGAAAATGATAAATATACCTCCTATTTAAATAAAACAATAAAAAAGAAAAGAAAAGTTAAAGAATAAATTGGACTCATACTCCCAAGCTTTTTTAAAAAGTGCAAATGAGTCCAAATAAATACTTAAAAAGGTAATTAGTACAAACCGTCCCTACCTTTCATCATTATTGTACAAAATGTCCCTATCTTTCATTTTTTGACATTTTGATCCTTATTTTTATATTTCATTGCAAAAATCATTATTTTCATCCATTTTCTCAATTAAAAGCTGTAAAATAACAAATATATCATTCTCTTTAAATAAACAAAAATAAATAAAAGGAAAATAAAGATCAAATTGCAACTTTACTCCAAAATTAAAAAAAAATTAAATAAATAA